GCTTGGTAGAGATTCATATAGCGAAGTGTGTCGAAAATGATGAATTTCAATTACCGTTTTGGATATGAGAACAGCGACTGCGAGGGACGGTAAAGAAGCTGTGGGATGCTTACTAACACACTTCCCATAGACCACATAACTGGATCTCGAAATGGCTGCGGAAAGATCTGATACGAGATTCAAAAATGTTCACGAACTTTTGGGACAACCTAATAGTAACAAGTTAAGCCCTGCACACAAGAAAGGGTCACATTCACCGTTCGCTCTCTTTAGACCAGTTGCTATATCGGTCATAACTCTCACGTTCGCACTCTATATTGTCCATCCATTTTATCAAGATTGTGATCCACCACCATTCAGTGTGGAACTGCTGGCTATAGCCGTGATACGTATGTGATATTCATTTAGCTATTTCAAGTAAAATAAGCAACTGTGGTGCTATTTACCTTTTTCTACCCTTCAGAGTTCGGGTCAGACTTTTGTCTAGAAATTTGCCTGGGACTATGAGGATGCTTGAGGCCCCTGAGCGAGAGTACCGGAGTGTCACGGGTGTGCGTCGGCACAACCATACGTGAAACGGGGAGACGGGCAAGAGAACTGTAAATTGTCGCTTCGTCGCGCGCGGCAATGGAGCGCGACGTTTCCTTCAATTTGCACTACCCTTTCGATTGGAGCATCGGATTTCATGTAGACAAGGACATGGTAGACACTTATGTCTATTTTTGGTCATACATTGTCTATTCTCGACCAATACCACCTAAAATCGTCGTCATTAGCGGGCGCGACGTTGCATGCGACGCCCACTGGCGCGGCGAATTACAATTCTCTTGTCCCATACCCCATCAAACGCGCGTGCAAGTTTAAAATTTGCCCGGGGGTCGTTAGAACCGTCCACCCGCGTTGCCGCACGTCCAGCCGCATGTCCAACCGTGGCCAAAAACGTTACTTGTCTGCGCCCTCTCACCTCCGACTATTCTCTACTACTGAGTGCGTGTTTCGCTCCTGTCCGGTACCTTTTCCATCTACTTTTGAGCGGAAAAACTGGCACGCTGCAGCACCTGCTGCCTTACCCGCCCCGCACATGCCAAGGATCGCCGTTGCATGTGAGTGTATATAGGTTGTCTTGAACTCCCCTAGCGCCTGAGTGAAGGTGGTATCTATGTTCGGAGGGTAAGACGTTGCCCAACTACAAATTTCTAGCCGATTTAGTGGGTTGCCCAACTACAAATTTCTAGCCGATTTAGTGGTCTGGAATAATCTGCACTGACCCAGCGGCGTATGCACGTTTCTTGTCAAGCAAATGTGACACCAGCTACTTTGATGATATAGGTACCATGGCTCCAGCGCCTGTTGTGCCAGCTCCAAGTGGTTTCATTCGGAGTGGGTGTGATCCGTTTTCAGGAAGTCAAATACTACCTATTATTTAATCTTCACAAAAAAGAGTACAGTGAATATGCACACACATCTTATTTGCAATTCACCGATAAATTTCTATCAAAGAAAATCCGCGCGCGGGTCGGGTCGGCGCGGCGGCTTCGGCGTCAACGAGGACTGCCGCGCAGCAAACATCATTATCTTTCCAGTACTTCTCTGTGGTATAAACTGTTATTCGGTTAAAGCTGTAGCCAGACTTCAAGACTGGTTCACAATCGCCAAGGTGCTCGCTCTACTAACGGTCATCTTGACTTCTGGATATCTTCTCATATTCGGTAAGACTCAGGTGCTTGTTCTCCTGAAATGAATCAAGCAATGTGACATGAGATTCGGTTTCTAGCCGAGTTCGCTAAACGACACCTGCAATTGTGTGATTCGGAAAAATAGGGGAGGAGTAGAGAGCCCCACAGAAGATTTCCAGGGACTTGTTGGGTTGGATTGGATGTAGGCAATAGTTGATCAAAAAGGGCGTTACCAAGGACTAGTTGGGACGTGACGACGACTGCGTAAGACCAGATCGAGGAGATGCAGATACTAGTAGTCGTACTACACAGGGTGCGACGTTGGCGCGGCTGGCCGTTCTTCACTAATTGTTGTCACTTGCCCGCTTCATAATTTGGTGGGGAACGTGCTGGCACAACGCCAAACCTTGTATCTTGACACGCCGCCGCGGCTACAGCGAACAAGACCGTACTCAGTCTTCGACTTCCGTTTCCAGATCGTGCTGGGATCGCTTGAGAACCACGTTCTATTTTAGGGAAATCAATGTATTGGGACTCATTTGACCATATCTTCGAAGGAAATTTCCGTACGTTTGGATCCGCTGCAGTTGCATTTTACTCTGGATTGTTCGCATATCAAGGATGGGCATACCTTGAATACTATCACAGAGGAGCTCATCAATCCAAGACGGTTGTTATTTCCACTGCTAGTTGAGAAATCGAGTGAAGAAAATATTTCTAGCGATTATGTTAAGCCCTTAAAGGCAGTTGGCACGATAAATCCTCCAAGACGAGCAGGACTAATACGCCTGGCAGGACGGAATTCCGCGACCCTGAGCAGGCGCTGCATAATGCCTTTTCCAGAGGTGCCCTGCATAAGGGCGCTACCAGAGCCACATGACGACCCACCGTGATGCTGATGCTGGGCTGATATGAGGGCACTTTCCACTGGAAAAGGCATTCGCAGCGCCCTGCGCAGGCGGTCGTGCATTCCGTCCTGCAGGCTATTAGACCTGCCTCGTCTTGAAGGATTTATATATGAAGTACACATGTGTAGCCGTACCTTCGGTAGCGCTTATTGGTCAAGATGCCTACAGGAAACTCGTCCAAAATTGATTACTAACACAGTGAGAACGGAGGCTTTTTTTCGCAGGATTTTGACCGTTTCACTCCGTTCTTTCGCCATTTCCCCACTATATAGCGCCCTACTAGCATTTTAGGCCGAGCACCAATCATTTCGTGCAACTGCCTTGAACTGTAATTGGAGGCCAGAGTCTATTAGATTGCTATATTGGAACGGGGCAGTGCGAACCCCTCGCCATCCACACTGACTCTCCTTTTTCTTTTTTACCGTATCTGGGACAATGTGACTGTCAAGGCACTTCTTAAGCTGCCATTAGGCGTATTACTGCGCCTATCCTTTTTGGCGCAATCCTCCTTCCTAGCGACGGAGGCGAAGCACACCGCGCCTCTTCGACTGGCATGGAATGGTCCTTCGAAAGCACATCCCACGCAGCAGGGCCAAGGTGGTTTCAGGGATAAATTGACGGTAGTACAGGGTGGGAACGGAGCGAGCGGATCCATCGAAAATGTTTAAAATATAATGCCTTCAGCAGTTGAGATGAAGGCTTGTCCGAGGATGCGGAGAAGAAGCAATGAGGAGACCAGGTGACGAACACGATTAAAGTACACTAATAGTAAGGAGCAATGCCGCTGCTCTCATTGCAGTGGGCGCCCTGTGAGCGTGGAAAGCCCTGAGCGACAAGCACTTTGCTACGCACTGTTTAAGGGCTACAGAGGTGCCTTTGTTGTTGTGGTTAAACCACATTATACACGGAAGTATTTTATTCCTCAGCTGATCGTGACCGTGCCTCTACCGTGTCTGCTGCGGGCGCTTAGGCGTGTGGGGCTGAGTTTGGGGCGATGCCAGCCCGTTCTTCACCTGTGGTTGAAGCGGGTAAGCGACAACAATAGGTGGAAAACAGGCTTGTGCCGTATCAAGCCCAACTTCCCTGACACGAGCGTCTGCAGCGAGAACAACTGCAAACTAGACAGTATTACATGTTTGAAACACTCTCTTGGATATTCATGCCCGTTTAGAAATCTACCTCTGGCATTTTTGATTTCAATGACAATAGTCACCGTGGTTTATGTTCTCTACAATATTGCTCTGTATGTTGTCCTTTCTCCTGATGAAATTATTTTGCATCCAGCTGCTTCTGTGGTATGTTTTCCAACTCATAGGTTTTACTGTCATATTCCCGAAAATGATAGGGTGTCTGGGGGCGTGGCTTCGAGCACAAGCCGGGGCAGGTTTTCGATCAATTGTAGCAGAGTCAGCGTGATACCATTGGTGGAAATAAAAGGGCCGCTCCGGCTGCGCTCTGATTCATCGCGCCACACGCTCTATCGCTTGCATGGATCTCAACTGCATACTGTATTCAGTCACTGCAAGCCATTGCACAGGCCTTAAAATACGTCCAGCAATCGCCTCAGTTTAAAATAGAACCAAAGCTGCATGCTCGAAGACAAGCTCTATGCCTACCTTTGAGGTGAATCGGTGCTAAGTGGGAGGTAATCGAAGAAGCTATAGAAGAGAGAACATTTTGTGATTCAGGGGGGGGGGCGTAGAAAATAGGTTGGAATATGTGATAAATGGATGTCGTTTGGGTCCGTACCCGACGTCCACAGCGTGCAGCATATGCCTCGACACCAAGGTCACGCAGCGAACAACTTGAACGGCGAAGTGTCCATCTCGGTTAAGTGCGGAGAAAATCTAGACTCGAGAGGGTGCAGACAAGCACGCGTCTGGCTATACATAGACGCATGCACGTTGCGTCTGCGTGCTCGATTGTCTTGACGCCGCGGAATCCTCTGGTGATCGGCGCGTTCGTCTTACATGCCTTATTGGGGTTTATCGAGCCCTCTGCCTTACTTTTTCTGAGGAGGGTATCTTGTAAGGCCCTATCTAACTGCAACATACCGACCCGGTACCCATCGCGCCGGCCCGCCCACAGTTAGACGACCATACCTAATGTTCGTATCGCATCATTCGAGGTACAATGTGAAGCGAATGGATTGATATGAAGCGGCTGCGGTGCCGCACGGATATACGCGTACATGCACGCAGTAACCTCGTCATCCGGGCAGTTGATTAGGGCGGTCGTCAACGGGCCGCAGCGCGTGCCAGGAACTATTTGCTTTTTCCAGGCTAATTTAGTCATTTTTTTCCTTGTGAAGATAAGGAGCTGCTAATCTGGGAAAAAGTAGCCAAAACAGTGAAAAGTTGGAAAAATGACTAAATTAGTCTGGAAAAAGCAAATAGTTCCTGGCACGCGCTGCGGCCCGTTGACACCGCCTAATAGATGGCGGGGCGGGATGACGAGGGTATGTTATGTGTACAATATTGTGGGTTATAGGCAAGATGCTTCGGGAACTCGTCCAGAAATTTTTCTGAACTTATATGAACAATGCTTATTCTGAGGCGTTTCTGACCGGATGTATTTCTTTTTTTTTTTCTCATTGTCGTTTATATAGCGCTCCTTGCTAGAATTTAGACCCCCGCGAAGAGCTGTCCCTATCGCTGGCCGCTCGCGATTGATTTTTCTTCTTGCTCCAGTCGGCTAACTGCTTTCCACATCTTTTTTCACTTTTAGACGTATGCAAACAAAATATATGGCAAATTTTCATTCATAATGTCACTTTTTGTCGCCATTTCCACGTTCGGGTCCGCAACGCAGGTCTTATGTGAGTCGAGGTAGCGGTAGTTCTGACCAGAAATATGATTGTCTTTAGAAGATTCTCGGGTAAGATGAATATATGAATGATTGAGGTCTCAAACACAAGGTTGAAGATTATTTTAACTAGTGGAGGCTCGTGAAAGGCAAGATGAAGTAGGATTTTTGGCAATGACGTAAGCAAGGAGCATATTTCGATACGCCATCCGCTTCGCGTGATACTTATGAGTGAGTTGTAATTTCGTGTTATTTCGGAGTCCGCAGGGTTAAGGCAATGGTGGTCGAACCTTGGAGAGAGGTTTGTCCAACCTCATTCAAAGTTTTACTGTAACTACCCGTAAATGCCACAATCACCGCAGGATCTTTAGCTTTATTTCCATGGTCCGGCATCGATGGCCGATACGTACATATCTCGGCCCAAAGAATTTCATTCTAGCGTTGGTGACATGCACGTTATCACTATATTCAGAGTGATGCTGAAGGAACTGGTCCCGCTGAATGCTAGTAGCCCTTGGGGAGAGAAGAGGGAGGGAGCATTCCAAGAATTCATTTGAAAGCAAATGAGATCACCGTCATTCGAATGGAGTAGCCATGCCACCGTGGCTCCCACAATCGGTATTCCTGCTCTTTGAGTCTAGGCAAAAGCCCTAATCTCCACTAGTGATAGTTCTCTGTCGACACCCCTTTGAACGCCCCTGCTAAGGCTACTTGCGTTTTCTACTACTCTGCGCACTTGCCTGCCTTTATCCATCCTAATCGACATAATTTCTTCGACCCCCTCGCGGCGCCTACTCCTTCAGATGAAGGAGGAAGTTGAGATGGGGGAGGGGATTGTTTTGGAGCAACAACCAACGGGAAAAATAATGTGCCTCCCTCGGAGATCGCAACTGCCAGAAAAGAGTTCATAGAAAACCCACGAAGTCACATAACACAGCTCATAAGCACAGAGTGGTGTTTCCAAGTGTGCCTGGCGTCCCAGGGCACATCATTGCTTGGGGATTTAGGTCGAGTACGTACGAGCCACCCTTTATTCAGGGGGTTGGTACGACCCCTCTAGGTGGTGGCTTGATATGACTCACCCCCAAATCCCCCTTCCTCCATCATCCTACTCACCACTTTCCTCGATTTTCCCAAATTCCTACCACTTCTGTCAGAAATTCCCTAAAATTTTCCTACTTTTATCTCAGAAATTTTGCTGTCGAGCAAGGAGGGAGGTGTTAAAGGGAGGGGGGGGGGGGTAGGCGCTCTAAACAAGGAGCAAGTACTACCCCCCCCTACACACACACCGTCCCTGGAATAGAAAAACGACTAAAAAAATTTCTAGCCCATTTCAGACCCCCTTCCGCTCCCTCTACTTCCCCCTCCTACTCCTCCACAGCCATCTCCGATATCGGCACATGCGAGTGGCGGTGTGACTTGCGCGTGTTCATTTTGGCAGCGTAGACGTGTGTCAAGCCCGCGAACTTCGTTGCAGCGTTCTCGATTCCGTTTGTAGGACCGTCATTCTGTGCTTTCGCTGACTGAACAAAGCTACACTTAACAATGCCGCAAATGGCCCAAAGTCTTCAGCAAAAAATGCGGACACCGCCAATCCCGCGGTTAATATGATTGCTCTGCCTTTCTCTCATCAAGGACGTCGTTCAGCAACCTGTCGCCGCGCTTACTATGGAACGGTCCCAAAGATAGACTGTACTTTGGAGTCGGAAACAATGCCCGTTTTCGTGCATCGGGTAGGGAACGAACTCCGCTGTGCCCGTTGAGACAGAGACCTCTACCACTACAACCGGACATACGCGACTTCGGAGTTTTTAGGTACTGCACCTATACACATTTGCGTTTCGCCATAAAGTCCAAGTATAGACCTCCTATCCTACTATAAAGCGTTCTGATTATCTCAGGTGCGCTGAAAGATTATCTGCGTAACTGATCGTAAAGTAGCAGGTTTCAGTGAGCATGGCTCGCAATCGGCTAAATACACTTCATCTCCTCAATGTATTTCGTGCTCATCAACGCCAGCCAGACCAACCTGCTTTTGGGCGCGGTGGCAGTAACAACTCTTGCCGGGGGTGTGGGCCTTCTTAGTACTTCGATATTGAATTGTAATGCCGGATGCACAATAGACACAAATCTAAATGTGGGAGCTCTCTAGTTGACCGAGAAGAACTTATCTCTCTATTCTATCTCTCTCTCTTCTCTATCTCCTCGATTCCATGCCTCTCTATTCTCTATTTTTGGCTACGTCAACGTTCCTTCCGTCAAGATACAGTAGCTTTCTATATATCTAATGTCATATTCAGTGCCAGTGAACATATAGCTCATTAACGATGTAATATATTCTAGTAATTGCGTGGATCTACACTGTAACGCTTCAGCTATTGTCGTGAACCTAAAGAACAGGTTCGAGTAATTTTCCGAACTAAATTGAGAGGGGTTGTGGCACGGTTTTTCTTTCCTCTCATTTTCTCCCTAGCGTGTGAATCCCGCTCAGTCTCACGTGGGATGCCGTGCGTGTTTTGTAACAGTCGCCATCTTCTCCTATCCAGGGCGTCCTCTGCCCTGGCCTTCACTTCAGTAGGATCTTCCTTGATCACGTTGCCCCACCTTTTCTTCGGAGTTCCTCGAGGTCGCTTGCCTTGGCCTTCGTAGTCCAGCGCCTTCCTTATGGGATCCATAACCCCGCAGCCGCTGCTCTCGTGCCTTTAGCTGGATTGGAGCTGTGACCGCTCTGACGTCCTCGTTTCTGACTCTGTCGAGTCGTGTCCAGCCGCAGGCCCATCTCAGCATCCTCATTTCAGCTGAGTGGAGCTGCTTTTCATGGTTCTTGCCATGATTGTTGTGACTTCTTCCTCCATCAGCCGGCCTGGGCCTGACGCTGGAATCGTCAGGATGGAACTCGCGGCCTTCACAGTGGTTGCGAACGTGAGCCCGCACTCTTAACACTCGGCTGACCCTGCCCTGTCCGAAGGGCAAACACCCCGAATGAAGATTGCTGCGTTATTTTCTCAACAACTTATTGAAAAGGGTTGTGCAGCGTGGGAGAGAAAAGTTTCTGAAAATCAAAGAGTGGCTTTGAGACGGTGCAGGCGCGCCTTAGACTTTACACCAGGAGGTTGGACTACAAGGTGCCCCTTGCCGCCCTCCACTAATTGCTGAAGCGGGCCAGCGACCACAACTGATGGAAAACGGGCTGGCGCCGGGGCAAATCCAGCCTCCTCCTGTGACACGCACTGCGTTAGCAACGAAAACGAGTATGCAAGTTTAGCTATTGGCTGGATTATCGTTTTCACAGCAATACCTTTCTATATTCTCTTTATTGCACTGGAACAACCAACATTTCTCAGAAGAATCATGTGTAAGCTTTGGAGTACAGTTCGTCTCGTCGAGTCATTTCATTGATGGGGGCGGAGCTTCCGTGGCGGTGCTTGGCTGCTGACTAATGATGCGCGCGCGCACTGCGCTAGCG